TGTGGGGGGCTGGTAGGGGTGGGGTGGTAATTTTTTTTATTTTATTTTTTTACATTTTTTTGGGATAGGGGGTAGGGGTGGAGTGAAGTGATAAAAAAAACTTCAATTTATTTTTTATTTTTAAAGTTTTTAACAAGATTTCTATTATAATATGGGTAAATATGGTTACTCATATTATTCATTGGGTAACTCGTTTTTATCAATTTAAAATGTGAGTCGAGTCGAGTAACTTATCCATTTTTATTTAACTCGTGTTTTAATCGACTCCTATTCGACTCGACTCGCTCGTTTGCCACTCCATCAACGTTGCTGAGAACGTTGAGTGCATGTAATGGTTGTCCGTTGTGTTTCCTGGCAGAATGTGTAGTGGTTAACCATTACCATTATTTCTCTGAAATCTCATTATTCTTCCTCCATTCTTGTAACTTGTGTAAATTCTAACCCATTTATCTCATCTATTTACTACTCATTATCTTCCTATTCATTGCTAAGAAGAATTCCTTAATTATAAATAGTGGTGGTCTTCATTTATACTGAGTACAAGAAAATAGAGAGTGCATAAAAATTAGTCAAAAAGAGAGTTCTCATTTGTTAAAGGGAGGTGTTTAATTTTTTTTTGTGGAGTTTTGGACTCAACTATTATTCAGAGTTTATTGAGTTTTACTTTGTGATTAGACTATTGTATCGTGGAGGGATCAAGTTGAAAGGGCTATTATTGGAACGGTGAAAAGATTTGCTGCGATGAATATGAATTTCGTTAAAAAGAACCAGATATCCACACCTCAACCTAAAGTAATTTTATTTTCGATTGTGATTTGTAATCTCATAATTTTCACTTTAACACCTCTGAATCAGTTGAAACATCCCCTTAGAGCCCACACTGTTGGCAGCACACTGTTTCTGGTATTCCTTGTCAACGTGATTGGATCATCATAAAGGTATTCTCCTGCCAAGCACCTCCGATCCGTATACAGCTGAAAAGTGTGGCATGGATGGCTGACACACTTTTATCAACATTTGTATTGTTAATCTTTGGAATCAAATGCTTGTTACGTTAGTTCGATTACACTGATATTGTTCCGAATATGTTTTTTTGTTTTTGCAGGATTTAGAGTCATCAGTCAGGTACTTTGCAAACCGTTCTAAATGTTTCAAATATATAAATTATATTTTTTTAAAATTAAAATGTTCTAACTCACAATTAAAATTAAACTATTTGACTATTTGGAATTCGAATGATGTAACATAAAAATATATTAAGAAAATAGTGGATTTATGAAATAAGTAATTGTTATTTTTTTGACAACTAAAATAATACAGTAATTTTTCCATGCATTAAAAGTTGGAGTATTTCATTTATCCACTCAGTAGTTATAAAGGAGTAAAATGATCAATTTTCTGACCTAGCGCGAATTAAGGATATTCCAAGCCTCAGACTGCACACAAACTGTTTGATGATTTGTTTCAAAGAGCCTCACATTCAAATAGTACCTCTTAATTGTTCTTTATCTGTTCGTGTTCAACAAAATCGTTAAGTGAGTTCAGTTAACCGCATTCTGAGTTATTATTTTCTGACTTATTATCATTTGAACGTTATCTACAGGTGTAAGCTGGTACCCTGCCTGCTTTACCACATTGAAGACGAATTGTCTATTGTTTGTGGAAGATGCTTATAAAACGTCTCTTTTCATCTTCACATGCCTTTTCCTCGTCCTCCGCTTCTTTGAATTTGCTTAAAATCGGAAGCGTTTTGAAGCAAGCTAGGACATTTACAGATGATGATGTTCTTGGGTATTCTAAACTGACCCATGACGCCAATCCATTGCACTTTGATGCTGAATGCGCCAAGAATGCTGGTTTCAGTGACTGCCTTGTTCCTGGGATGCTTGTTGCTTCCTTATTTCCCAGGATTATTGCTGCCCATTTTGTAAGTTTTTTGATTGTTTAGTCTAGAGGTTGGTTGATGTATATAATCTGTTAAACTACAATGTTCATCTATTCGTGTATCTAATCGAAATCCAAAACTTAATGATAAAGATAAACATGTTTTTAACATTTTGATTATTTAAAGGTCAAGTAGAAGTAATAAGTGTTAATTGTTCATGTCGAAAAGAAGGTACTAACCTACTGAAACTAGTTAACCTATGCAGGTAGCTTAACGATCTTTAAACTTTTTTGTGTATATAGCTTAAATAAACTAGCTAAATATGCATACTGTTGAATGGGAAAGGTGTTATGTAGGTCTAGTTTTATGTTGAACAATCGGTTAGTGTAAATCTAACTATTGTCATTTGGTAATTTCTCCAGCCAGGAGCTATATATGTTTCACAAACCTTGCACTTCAAATTACCTGTTTATATAGGAGACGAGATCATTGCTGAGGTACAGGCAGTAAGCATCAGACAAATCAAAAACAAGTACATGTAAGTTGTACCTCTTGGCTGAAGATTGATACCGACATAAAGTATGTATTTTGTAGCTCCTAATTGTGTTGCTCTTTCTGGTTCAGCGCAAAACTGTCAACAAAATGTATCAAATGCGATGGTCCTCTGGTTATAGATGGTGAAGCAACAGCAATGTTACCATCTCTGGTCATGGAACCACCAAACTTGGCAGTTACTTCCAGCTAATCGGTAACATCTTTGCTTGTCAGCTAAAACATTCTAGAGCTGCACGAGCTTCTCTTAAGAGAAATACGAAGGGAATATCCCTGACTATTGCCAATCCTGGATCATTTGCATCGACAAGTTCTACAGCATAGATGTCATTCAGTTCAAAGTCTTCAAGTTTTCGTAGTAATTAGCAAATGCTCATACTTTGTTCTTACTGATCGATGTTACATTTGACTCTGGTACTTGCTGCCCAACAATGTCCTTGCACTAAAACTTTGTCATTTGACCGTGAAAGCTTTGAGGTGTAAAATCTTTATGGAGTCTTGAATTTCAATTCCTTTTGACTCCATTAATAGAGATATATTCTGCATAATCGTTACTTAATCATATTAATTAACATGTATTTATCATTTAATTATGTCTAATTAACAGCAAATAGAAAAAAAATGACACAGTTAGCAATACATGTCTTGCACACTTTTTAACAAATCACTTGCACAGGTGATCAGCTTGAAATTTTGAAGCTCCTGCCTACTAACTTTTTCTTCCAAACTCTAAATTCCCTTCATCTCCTGTACTGTCAATGATCAAACAAGAAAACCACAGAAGAAACAGTTCATAAACTCCACAGAAAGGCACGTGAATAACTAAAGACTATTAATCTTAGAGGGAATAAGTTTACAGCTAATCCCACTACCAATGTACTTTTTATCTTAACTCACATTACAACTAGAGAACTAGTTGAAAATAACACGGCCTTCTCTTTTAGTCCTTGAAGCATGATCAACACTCATCTTTGTCCTAAGTACCTGACTACTACTGTATAATTATTGGTTACATCATGGGAAGTCCTTGTGGAGGAGCAAATGCTGGTGCATTAGGCATTTTTTTGTCCACGACAATTGCTTGAGTAGTGAGAACCATTCCTGCAACTGACGCTGCATTCTGCAAGGCACATCTTGTTACCATGGCTGGGTCGATGACACCAGCTTCTACTAAATCCTCATACTTGTCAGTCATTGCATTGTAACCCATCCTCCATTTGCTAGCCTTTATCTTCTCCACTACTACTTCCCCTTCAACCCCAGCATTCTGAGCTATCAAAGATGCCGGAGCTACTAATGCCTGCAATCACAATTAAACTTTACAAAAAGAACAAAGAAAAAGAAGAAGAAACAAGAAACTTAAATTGTTTTTGGTAAGAGATTCATCCAAATGCACACTGTTAAACAGGATTTCAATAGTTACAAACTATTCCTTTTGCACATGATTTTTGTTCAATTAGCAACCATAATAAAGGACAAGAAAATTCTAAGATAAAGAAAGAAAATGATATGCTACTATATATGCAGCAAGTGTTCTGTACATTCATGTCTAATTGCGCGTTATCCTGTGTTGTCACTGCTTTCCCGTTCCAAAATTCAAATGATACCACCCGAAGTCATCATCTGTTGTTCAGTGTATGTTTCCAAATTAGATTATGTCCTAGAAGTTAGCTCATGCCCTAACACATTGCAAGTTCTTGATCCTTCCACCAACAGATAGTGAGTTGGTTAGAAGTTAGCTACTCCTCTCAATATTAGCATTACAGTACTATCCATTTGCTATAGAAAAGTTGCTAAAGCCTACTAAGTCAAGTGATACTGTTCAGTTGATTCTCTAGCACAGATGACGAAAAACCCGAATTTCTCCAATCAAACAGATTATGACCTGAACTTCTGCAGTACGGTTATTAGCTCACCAATAAATTATATTGGAAATGGTTACATTACCATAAAAGACTTACCAAGGTGCCATAATAATAATTTAATAGGTAGCATACTCGCAAAAATAAAACAAATAACGAGAGAACTTCTAGATTGAAGTAACTTGGACATTTGTTTACCTTCTGCACAATGTCAGCGCCCAACTTCTCATCAGGATCTTCAAGATTGTCCTTAATGGCAGGGACATTATTTGATAGATGAACCAACGCAGCACCACCACCAGGTACGATTCCCTCTTCAATTGCAGCAAAAGTTGCATTTTTTGCATCCTCAATTCTAAGCTTGCGGTCCTCAAGCTCAGCTTCTGTTGCAGCACCAACCTTTATGACAGCAACACCTCCAGACAACTTTGCAATTCTCTCAGAAAGTTTCTCGGAGTCAGACACTGATTCTGACTTGTCCAACTCCTTTTTAATCTGAGAAATCCTAGCCTGTATCTCGTCCTTCGACACATCATCAGCAAGGATGGTTGTTGAGTCCTTGGTGATAGTCACCTTTCTAGCAAAACCAAGTGCTTCGACCGGGGTATTCTCAACCGGCATACACAAATCAGCTGCCTGGTACTCGGCTCCTGCAAGTATACACAACCAGTACTTCAGGAAATGTTCCCTTGTGAGGTAGATGCATTTGAGACTAGAGACACGATGCTTGATAAAATAATTCAGACCACTATCAAAGAAAAGCAGATAGGATAATAGCACTAAGGGGATTCGCTTAAAACAGAATTGCTAAATAAACTGCAAAATTTATAAATTCAAGGAGAGTAAAACTACACATTATCTAAGAATTCTACTGGCTTAACATCCCACCAGCATCAGGTATAACTTCTTCCCCCTTTCCTCCTCAAACTCACATCCAAAATAGAAAATAAAAGAGGAAAATAAAAAACATTTTTTGAAGACCATGTACTATGGTTCCTCCATTAATATAGTTCAATAATATGCTTTCACTTTCTTTTTTTACTTTTTAAGATTATTCTGAAAGACACCTAATCATACCAGAATGATGCTAACATTTACAACTGAACATCTCCGTTGGACAAATGCCTTCAATATATGCCTGACAAAACACAGACAGCTTCCAAACAAGTTTACTCTAACCAATATACTATTATCACTTTGTGGGAAGTGGTACAATTAGGTCAGGCAAGTTCAACCACCTGTTACAATGGCAATATCTTGAAGAAGAGCCTTCCTCCTTTGACCAAAACCAGGTGCTCTGATGGCAGCAACATTCAGTATACCTCGCAGCTTGTTCACAATAAGAGTAGCTAAAGCTTCTCCAGTTACTTCTCCAGCAATAATGAGTAGAGGGGCTCGTAATTGAGTTGCCTTCTCCAAGAGGGGCATAATATCCTTGATTGCTGAAATATCGTAATCTGTAACCAACACTCGAGCATTCTCAAATTCAACAACTAGTTTCTCCTGATTGGTGATGAATTGTGGGGAAATATATCCCTTATCAATCTGCAAACGACGGAGCAAAATTTGCGTTAACATATATTACAGGCAGTGCAAGAACCATAGTGGGGTTCGTGGGTTCAGAAGAAATACAGAACCCACAGTTTCTGTCTCAAACCCCATGTATATACATGATAACCAAGTATTACTTAGAGTTGGATATATATGTTGTAACCCTCATTCTCAACTCAGAACCCACGACATCTAAACTTTGGATCTCCAACTGATTACAGTTGAACTACCAACCAAATAGAAAAACGAACTGTGGAGAATACATTCTCGTCTAAGTAGGTACATACCTCCATCCCTTCTTCAACACGAACAGTGGTTTCAAAGGAAGAGGATGACTCAATCGATAGAACACCATCAGGACCAACTTTGTCAATTGCATCAGCAATCATGGTTCCGATCTCATCATCATTTCCAGCAGAGATAGAAGCAATAGCTGGTGGGAAGACAATTATTTGCAAAATACTTATTGCAATCCATTGTAGCAGTAACAAAAGAAGGAAAATTAATTACCTTTGATGTCATCACGACCTTTAACAGGCCTAGCCCTCCTTTCTAGCATTGCAACCAAAGCATTTACAGTTTTGTCAATGCCCCTCTTCAGAGAGACTGGATTTGCACCAGATGTAACACTTAAAAGACCATGCTTAATGATTTCCCGGGCAAGAACGGATGCAGTTGTTGTCCCGTCACCAGCAGCATCATTGGTTAGGCTTGCAACCTTCACCATAAATTCCGAAGTTTCAGTACACCAATCAAGGAATATGATAAATGTGATGATCGTTCTTTTACTATCTTTCTTTAGAAAATTAACCAGATACAGGACAAATTCAACAATGATCTTCACGGAAGAAAATAACCAACCTCTCTGATAAGGGTGGCGCCTGCATTTTCCATGGCATCAGCTAGCTCTATGGCACGAGCAATCGTGACCCCATCGTTAACTACTTTCGGGGTATCATAGTCGTCTAAAACCACATTCCTCCCTATAGAAAAGTAACAGGTCATCAAGAGTTCATGTGAAACAAGCATTACAAAAGCATCATAACAGAGCTGATCAAATAAATGGCTGATTTTAAAAACACAACTGGTATAGCATGAAACCCACAGGATAAGTTGATTGCAGCAATGCTGGAGGAGGAAAATCAATTCTGGCTTCAAAAGGAAAGTCTCTTTTGATGAAGAAATGGAAATCTTACCTTGTTATAATTTGGTAATGTCATATTTCTCTGTGCTTTCACACAGGAAGGATGACAAACACATAACATTGTTACATCTGCAAAATGTCTCATGTTTAAAGTCTTCGCCTCCAAGAGAGGGAAAATAACTTTCCTTACAATTATCTCAACTTTAAACTTCATATGTACTTGTTTCAACTAACACTAAGACATGGAGTATTATTAATCTCTAATACTCAAAAATTGCATCAAGCACTCTCCGATTTGCTACGTATTATGATTAATCTTGACTATTGCTTTTTCCTAACCAAACACCACTGAGAAATGACTTCACTCATAGCAAAGACACTCTACATCAAAAAAAAGAAAAAAGAACTTCCATTGATCTGGAAGATGAAGCTTAGGAAACATACCCTTAGGACCAAGAGTGAGACCGACAACATTAACGAGCTTATCAATTCCTGCTTGAAGGGCAGCTCTTGATTTCTGGTCAAATGCAATATCTTTAGCATTTGCCCTTACTACTAATCGGCTCTTTGAAGCCTTATTGTTGAATTTCTGTCTCTGCAATTGATTCACCCTTCTTTCTTTCAACCCCACCTTCATTTAACACCCAATAGACCAAAAAAACAGTTAAAGATCACAACTTTAAGCAGATCCCAACAAATAAGAAAAATATCTTAAGATTCCAACAATATCTTAAAATAAGAAAAATATCTTATGAATGTACCTGTTTAGAGGAAGAAAGAAGAATAGAGGCAGTGGAGATCCCATTTGCAGAAGCCATTATCAGAAGAAACTGTATACTGAAAGAGGGTTTAAGCAGCTGCAATGATATTCTTCTACTATGAGTAAAAGGGGAGTAGGTGGAAGTATTAAGGTTCGTAGCAAAAATAATACTATTTGAAAATGGAATATTATTTGAGAATTTAAGTTATACATTTTCTTTTTCGAGGAGTTGCTAGGATAGT